ACGAGGTGAATGGAAAAATCATTACTAAATTCATCGGATTAAAACCTAAATCTTACGCCTTCACAATTCACGGTGAGGTTGATGAACATAAGAAATCAAAAGGTGTAGTGAAACACAAAGTGAAAAGAGAACTGTCGTATCAGAACTACCACGAAGCATTATATCAAAACAAAAAGCACGAAATCACATCTAATTTTATTAGGAGTAAGTCACATCAAATATATTCAATGTCTCAAGTAAAGCAATCTCTCAGTAATTATGAAAATAAAAGGTTTTATATTGATGCTTTCACTTCATTGCCTTATGGACATTACGCTATTACAAAGTAATAGCTTAATGAGCTTCGCGACATTACTCCATAAAATAGTTATCTAAATAGTTCTAATAATATGAAATTATCAGAATTATTTTCAGGGACAGGCTCGGTTGGTCGGGTTGCTCGGGATTTGGGTTTTAGTGTTATTTCCCTTGATTTGAAAAATGCAAATATCAATACTGATATTTTGAGTTGGGATTATCGTGATTTTGATGTGGGCGAGTTTGATGTTGTGTGGGCATCTCCTCCTTGCATCGAATACAGCCGAGCGAAGACGACGGACGTCCGAAAGATTGAGTATGCTAACAGCATCGTTTTGAAAACCCTTGAAATCATTGACTACTTCAAACCGAAGTGGTGGGTTGTGGAAAATCCTCAAACTGGTCTTTTGAAGGAACAACCATTCATGAGTGGGTTGAAATACTATGATGTGGATTATTGCAAATATGGCATGAACTACAGGAAGCGAACGAGGTTGTGGTCAAACATTGAAACATGGAAACCTAGACCATTATGTAATAGGGATTGTGGGAAGGTTAGGAATGGGAAACATTTAGAAACTGCTCAACGGTTGCCTTGTGGTAAGAAGGATAGTTGGGGTGAGGGATACATCAAACATAAACAAGATGAGTTGTATAAAATTCCTACTGATTTGATTAGTGATATATTTGTTAGATTGTTTTAGGGTTAAACCTCAAAAGGGTCAGTGAAAGGGGTACAGGACGAAAACCCTCTCCAGCCCAGCGCCTAGAAGTCGTCAGCATGGTAGGCAGGCTTCTCGGTGACTTCACAACCTCGGAGCGTCATACCAAAACAAAAAAAAACACCCTTTGCCAGCATGCTATTGACTTGAAGTAGTCGCATCCAGACAAACGAGCTTTTTTTTCCTGACGGAAGCGTGATGTGTGATTGACAAGCAAGTCCGCTTCTGTTCAAGAACTCACTCAAGGATTTAACCATGGAACCTCTACATTGTTCATTTTTTTCTGAGTCTAGCATCAAGTGCCTTCAGTGAGTGGGACAATGCGAAGTAGAACCTCCAGTTCTCAAGTCAATCCAATCAGTGGCTCACTTGGTTCCTCTCAGTGGCTCACTCGGTTCCTGTCAGGGATGTTCTTCATCGAAACCCATTTCCCCGATTTAACTATAGTGAATTCCTTGAAAGTTGTCACTCATTTCCCCAGACACTTGTTTATCAACAAAAATATGTGTTCTTTTTTCCCTCTGTGTCATTTCCCCCTTCCCTGTGTTTGATTTCACTGACAACGGGGTTTCAAGGAATACAACAAAATACAAACATTTCCCAAAGTTATGGGTTAGATTTCCCCATTCCCCAAAAGTCATTTCCCTGACTGTGGGGTTTCTTTTCCCTGTGAAAACCAACACTTTTGAAACTCTGTCCTGTGGCGGTCTGGGCAGCTTCAATCTGCTTCTTCTCAATGATTTTGTCAAGTGTCATGCGGAAGCCCTCCCACGACATACGGGAAGCGTCGGTCAAGTAACTCTTGTAGAGGGCGTAGGCGGTCGTCGTCTTTGCTGTGTCCGTCATCAAGTCATTCAAGGCGCTCATCTGGCTGATGCGTGTGAAGAACTGGTCAAGGCAAATCTTGGCGATGAAGTCAAAGCGAGAGGTCTCGTTGTTGGTTGTGAAGATGTAGGCTTGGATGCGTTTGCACTTCTCGGCGGGAAGGCTGTCCAACACATCGTCAATGCCGTTGCCTTGCGAAAGCATGTTGGAAAGCTGCTCCAAAAACTGCTTGTTGAAGGTCATGTCGGGGATGCCAAGGTTCAAGACGTGGCTCACGGACATCTGCATCTCCAACTGCTTTGCGTTGATTTTCTCCTCCTTGCTGATGGTTGTCGTAGAACGTCCTCGCTTTCCACCACCTCGGCCGACCACCGAAGTCTGGACAATGCTGTCATTGGTCATCTTCCACCCTGTGCCACCAGTCTTGCCCGAACCAATCTCCCTGCGAGCGTGCAAGCCCATGTCCTCTCCATTCATCAAGTAGCGGAGCTTCTTCAAGCGCTTGATGGTAAAGCCGTAGTTGACTTTGAGAGCGTCCCGAATGTCCTTGACTGTGGACGTTGCATTGAGAGTCAGGGCGTAGGACTTGCCATCAATCACCACGTGAATGGTTAGAGTTGGCACCACCTGCTCCGTCTTGTTCTGCTTTTCCTGCTCCTCCCTCTGCTTCCGCAACTCCTTCTTGCGAGCATTGACCGCCTTGGTGAGAATCTTTTTCAAAGCCACCTTCTGCTTCCAGTAGTAGGTGGAGCGAGCCAAAGCATCGTCGTGCAACTTGTTCAACTCGTCAATGGAAGTGGCCTCCTCAATCATCTTGTCAAAGTTGGGGTCAAAGAACTCGGCAGGAATCGGAGCAGGGTCAGACGAAGAAGCGGCCGCAGACGTCAGTGTTGGAGTGGCACAGGAAGGGTCGTCCTTGTCGTCATGGTCCTTGTCCTGAGTGTCTTCTTGACCGTCATTGCTCTTCTTGTCTTCCTCCGACTCTGTCTCATCAGATGTCTCACTGGTGGGAGCGTCGCTCTCGTGAGCATCTGATTCAACTTCTGGCAAAGGAGCGGTCTCTGGGTATCCCGAAGCAGGCTGAGCGTCAGATTGATGAGGCTCAACGGTTGGCTCAGAAGCCAACTTGCTCATCTTAGGCGCCATTGACACCGCGAGATACAGGGATGGGTCTGTGTGCTTGGAAGCAAAAAAAGCTATGTAGATTGGTGGTTCAGTCAAGTGTCAAACACGCTCATCACAACATGTCTCAAAACGACGCTGTCAAACTGTGGCTCCCGGCTTAACAAAGAAGTCGTCAAAGCCCACGAAGCAGGCGGTGCAGACGACCAAATTAATGGGAACAAAAGACCAACAAAACAAATACACCACCAACACCCCAGAACTTGATAACTACTAAAAGGGTTAACTCTTTCAAATGAAAAAAATGTCGGCCCCCAGCCCAACAATGAACAAGGCGACAATTTACCCAAATGATTACCTTAACGAATACGATAAATAAGCTCCCTAAAAACCCTCTTTTCAAAACGAATAAGGGGGAACACAGATTTGAGATGAACATAAAAACCAGAACAGGCAACCCTCAACAGGCTTCCCCTCAGGGCCCCCCTTTTCTCCAGTCTCCATCCCCCCCCCGGATGACGGGGAGGGAAGGGTCCAGAGAAAACTTCTAATGTTGATGCTTGATATGTTTCATCCACCCCAAAGCAATCCTCAAGATCCTTATTCCATTTGTGGACACACGGCTGGTTTGCATCCCCCGGCAGAGTCCTGCGTGGGATCTCGCCCTGATCTCGAGCTACTTTGATCCGGTTCCGGCGGATGTTGGTGCTTTGGAGTGATTTGAGCTTTGGTTCCTGAGGGAAACTGGGAAGCTCCCCCTTCGACTCCAATCCAAATCGCAAATTGGGGGGGAAGCTCTAAACCTTTGCCGTGGCCAAGAAGCGCTCCGGGACCTTGCAGGTGAAGCAGGTCCGGGAGCAGATCAAGTTTGCTCTCTTCCGGCAGGTGTGCCTTGGGGAGGAGTTGTTCAAGCATCTCACTTTGAATATAGACTTGAGCATATTTTTCAGCAGATTGTGGGAAACGACATCAACTTGTTGGTTGCCAACCCAATTCGCATCGTCTTGCTTCCATTTCAGGGGGACGTGCTTTACTTGCTTCTGGTCGCGCAAGCGTTCCTGCCCTACGAAGGGTTCCCCATGCCGTCGCTTGCCCAGAAACATTGGAAATGGACACCGTTCGTCAGGAGTCCTCTCGCCCTTGTTTGATTCCCATGCGGGTTTATTTGGCTGCGGCTCAAAAACATGTACCAAATGGCACCCTTGGCAGATGGAACCAAGACTAAAACCTGCGTTACCCTAGCTCTTTAATTTTGAGCCACACCCATTTCTAAATTGGGCACCCCTCAAAATGGGTGGTGTTCTCTGTTGGTTTCCATGTTGCACCACCCCCAAAAAGGGTAAAAAAGGACACGCTCCTCTGGCACCGGAATATGAGGCTCGTTCTAAGGGAAATCGAAAGTTGGAAGCTTCCATTGGTTGCTCTACCCTTCCAGCAAGTCATATCTTGCAGAGTTGCAGAACCCTGTCGAAGAGGATTCCTGTCTTCCGATGGCAGCTCCGAGCTGCCCCTTCTTGGTCATCAACACATTTTGTTTTGGACATTTGGTTTGGCTTCCTTGCGCGCAACAATAGAGAGAGAGAGAGAAGAGGAAGCGAGTTTTCTTTTCGGTTGCCCCAGGGTGGGCCAGTTACCCATTTCAGGAATCAAGCCTCCCCTGGGTATTGGGGCAGGGAAGAAAGGAACTGTTTGAGTTCGCACAATCAGCTGCTCGTTTTCCCTTGAATACTCACAGTTGCCCTTGCTAAGATCATTCAGTGGCGGTGGTTCTCCAAACCCGTCATGAAGGAACACACCCCCAACTCAGGTCGGGTGAACCACAGAATGTCTATGCAGATCGCAGGGTTTTTTGGCCCATGGCGCTCTGATTCGGTCTCGCCGCTGGCTCGAACCAGCTCAAAGAGCTTCTTGCCCGAAGGGCCCCTTTTCCATCAGGGCAACAACGCCCGTCGGCCTGGCACTTGGGAGAGAAATAACAGATCTGCGGAAGACCCAACATCAACATCGCAGGGAAAAGCCGAGGTTTAGGGGTTTTGGGGGGTTTGGGTTGGCGAAAATTGCTTTCCTTCGCTGGCCGTAGCGCCTGTACATGTTGACCATGCCGAGCCCGCACGGTCCTCTTGGGATGGAACCGGAGACCGTGGAGAAAGAAGGCGCCTCGGGCCGTGCGGGGGGGCCTTGGGGGACCAAAGTTGCCTCAAAATGGATCACCAAGGCCACCTGGAGGAACACCAGCGGCTTTTTTGACTAGGTCCCCCACTATTGCCCTTTCTCATTTTTTGGCGGAGGGTTCCCCCTTCTAAAATAGACTACCATAACAAGGGTACCCTTATTCTAGCCTCTCTATTGGAGGACCTAGTTGAGCAACAGCCAACACTAAGCGAGATTTCCGTTTATGTTGCAGCTGGATGATTCAGCACTGGCGGACAAAAGGGCCAAGCAAACTTTGACTGGTGAAACGCCTTTCGGTTCATTTCAAAATTGCGAGTTCCGGAGATCTGTGGATCTCCCAAAATCGATCATTTCTCGATTGCTATTGGGTTGGATCTTTCGACTTTAACTTTTCGGGATAAAAATACGGGTTGTCCATTGAACCCACAAAAAGTATTCTTTTTGTGCAGGTCGGCAGCGTCCAAGAAATTTGAACATCCTGTGTTTCTGTTTGTTTGTTTGTTTGTTTGTTTGTTTGTTTGTTTGTTTGTTTGTTTGTTTAGAAATAAACTGGATGTTTTTGGGCTTAGAACCGACTGCCTCGGGTGTTTTATAGCCAGCTAAGCCGTGGGGGGGGGGCAAGAGCTTTGAGATTCCGGAGCAAATCGTGTGGCGCGCGCAAGGGTCGCTTTGCTTTTTGGGCGGACGCAACTTCTTCTTTCTTGGTGAGCCACACCACTTAATTTTGGTTTTGTTCTTCCCGTTTCTTTTTTTTGGTGTGTGTGTGTGTGTACCCGCCCCACATTTTTTTGGGGGGGGGGTTTGCTTGTTTGAAGAGGGAATGAGTGCTCATGGCGCGAAAGCCCAGCTCGCCTCCAAACAGGCAGCTTGTTGTCTACCCTCCCCTCCAGCGATCCAGTAGTGACGTGGTGACGTCAGCTGTTTCTGCGCTCTGGCCGGTGTATGCAGCTCTTGAGCCGCTTGCGTTGCGCACTTTGTGAGAAGCCAGCTTCTCTGGTGTTGCCGCTTGAGCTGCAGAGGTGGAGCCGCAAGAGCTGCGGCAAGCCGTTCGGGGGTTTTGCCTTGAGCTGCCTTAGGACATGTCCAAAGCTCAGCATTTTTTTCCCCGCAACTCTCCAAAATCCAAGAGGCACACAAACAAGCCATGAGAATCTTCTGCCAGGGAACAAAATCAGAAGCAAACGGAAACAAGCGATACCCTCCCATCCACTTGCGTGGAACCTGACTGAAGGGACCCTTTGGGTTCCACGGGTTCAGAGTTTTGCAACGGCCAGGACTGGCCAGCACGACTACAACGGTCGAGCCTCCTATTCAACTGCCCAGTGCGGAGCACACTCCGCTGCTTGGCCAAGCCGGCAGATCGATCCGCCTTATGGCTGCCGGGCCACACGCGCGGCAAACCTCGGGGTGGTCAACGCCTTATGGCTGTTGGGCCCCTGACTACGCTATTCTTGTGCAGCCTTTTCAGGATGTCCAGAAGTCCAGAGGGCGCCGTTTTTGCTTCTCCTGATTTGCTGGGATTCCGTGCAAAAGGAGCGAGTGGGGGAGGGGGGTTGTTTTCTTTTCAACGGACTGCGAGAGCAGCTTTGACTTGATGTTTTCTCGGGGATGACTCCAACCCAAGCCTTTCACCTTGGGTTTTCCCCCTTGTGTTGCTCGGTCTCTGGCATGGGTTCCGATTGCCAACCTAGAAGTTCGGACATTTTCAACCATGTCCACTGAGGCGGACGGAATACTTGGACCACAGCTGCAAGTTTGGACCGCGGGCAATACGTATTGCCAGTGAAATAGCATCTTCGCTGGCCAACACATGCTTGTTTCTTGTCTCCTAGGAAGTATTTGAGCACTGCTTTCCCACTTGACGGTTGTTCGATCCGGATTTCATTCGCCCCGCATGGTTTTGCTTAGGCAAGGGATTAGTTTGCCGACTGACACCCTTTCAACGCACTGCAGCTCCAGACATCCCCATTGCCTTTTTAGGCTTTTAGGGTTTAGTGGTAGTGTCCATTTAGCCAACTAGGCAGCCCAGTATTGTGGATGATCAACATTTGCATTTGCTGTGCCAGCATTTAAGGATGCAATTTCGAATGTGCCACTTTTTGTCGAGACATCCAGGGCGTCTCTTTTCGAGGCCCGTGTTTTGTGGTTTCAAAATGTCCCATTTGGCCATTCGAAACTCCCCCAAGTGATGGGTCTGTCGAATGTACAACAAACCCCACATCAACCCGCAATCAAATTACGGTTAAAGATTGGCAAGTGGCAAGGGACACTTTCTTCTGATTCTTTGGGTTTTCGCACATGAGTCGATTGCCACAGGGTGGGTTGGCTTTGGGGGCCCAAAGGCGGCGGGGGCGGGGGGGGCTTGCTTGAAAGGGAGTCCTGGGAGTCCCAGACTGGGCCATGGAAACGTGAGACGCATTGCCGAGGACAGGGACCAAGGCGAGCAGACTCTCCTGCAAGTCGCCGCTCGAACGGAACTGAACATGCGAAGGCAGTGGGGTTTCTCGGGTTTTGGGTGCAAGCGCGTGGTTCCTTTGGGTAGATGTGGGTTGGAGTTGTGCCATCTGCTGTTACCCAATGTTGCAAAAGGGGCTCCTCGAGAGGAGATTCTTTGCCATTTGTTTTGGGGTTCCGCATTGAGAAGGAACAGATTGGAGGGCAGAATTGGTAAGGCTTTGGGCAGGGAAATTGTGGGATGACTCCTGGAGGATGCCTTTGCTCCACGCATGTTGCATGTGTTTTTCCCCCCATCGGCTGAGTTGTCGCTAGGCACACGTTTCACGGACTGCGGAAATGGCCGTCTTTTGAGCTTGCGGAAATAAAAGCAAGCGACATAGTTGTTGTTTCCCATTGGAGAAAACCTATGGATTGGACGTGGCCTCCGTTTGAGCCGAACACTTGGCAAACATCGGAACAAATAGCACTCAAGTGAGAACGTGGGCAGAGACAGCGATTCTTTAGAGTTGAACATGAATGGCCGTGTGTCAAAGCGAATCGGCACCCTTTTGCAAAAGTCATATGATAGTGCGCATTTAGCACGGCCCCGAGTCCTGACACATCACCAAGTGTGTTTGTGTGTGTGTGTGTGCGCGCGCGCATGCGTTTGTGTGCGTTCGTGTGTGTTTGTGTGCGTGTTTGTCTTTTGCAGCATGGATTCTTCAAAGGAATCCAAAAGGACGCCACCCATTTTGGGGATTCCCCGTGCTGGCCTATGTGGGGGTTGGTCAACAGTTCCAGTAGTTGTTGCTTAATTTGGGATGTGGCGCATCTGAGCGTTTTGTCAGATTTAGGGCCATTTTGCTGGTCTGTCTCATGAGAACGTGGGCCGAATGGAAGGCCAATGGCAAGCAGGTAATGGAACCCATGCAGCTTCTGTTCTGACGGGTATCTTGTCTTAATCTGCTTTCTTTTTCTCAGTAAGAATCGGCCTTTCGACCCTCTGGATCAACAGCTTGGGCCGAGGATCGACACCTCCCGATCTGGCATCTCCGGTGCCTCGGCTGATTGGTGGAAACCGCGGGGGGTGCGGGTGGGTTCGTTGGTTTGACCAAACCAAGGGGAGAAAATTGGCTTGCTGGGTTTGCGTAAGCTTCTCGCTGGCCACATGTCTATGGGTCTTTAAGGAGCACTGCGGCTGACGTTCATGTTTTGTCCTCAAATTTACCGGATTGTTTGCTTTGGAGAGGGCCCGCAACCCGGTCGGGTCAGAAAAACCCGGAAACCGGTTTTTGCCCTTCAAGAGTTATGTCAACGGAGCAGCGCCCACCTTACATTTGTGGGGTTTACTGCACTTGCTGCTGCTCACTAGGATTGAATGACCCAGGGTGTTGGGAGTGCACCGGAAGGGGATTCCCGTAAAGCAAACCAAATCGGGGATGGTTTTTCTTGAGGGTTTTTTCATTCCTTGCCATCGAACCAGTAGCACTGAGAGCGCTAGGTTTTGACTTCCGGAACGGCCCGCCTTCAGGCCGGGCAAATCGGGGGGGGACCCCGAGTTGGGCGCAAGGGCTGGTGCCTACGGATCTGAGTGGCATCACCTTTTTTGGGGAAACGGAGCACGAGCTCACCCGGAGTCTTACTTCATTTGGAAGGGTGGAATGCTGGAAAGCCACCTCTCGGTTGATAGAGGTGGGGGTTGACATAGTAGAGGGGGGAGATAAGGAAAAAAGGTCTGGAGTAAAGTTTGCAGAGGCGGCTGCACTTGTTTGACATGTCAACTGATTTGTAAGGCAAGTTCTATTGGAAAGGAACTCCTGTGCATGTAGAATTCATAAATAGCATAATTCAGATTGAAATGTTAACTTGACATAGACATTGTGGTTGGTGTCTGTCCTTTTTGATTTCTATTTTAATTCAGTTAGAAATCGAGTAGAAGTCAAGATAGTTCAGTCGTGTTTTTGCCTAGCCCCAAGCGCTACCATGGTCCATTGTAAACCACAGTGTTATGTAGCAGTTGTCGTACTAATTTCACATCTTCACCAACGGCTGCTCCAAAAACAAAATCAAGCTTTGAATGGAATCCAAGTAGGACTCAGTAAGGTCACACCCATTCGAATCCTAGTGGAAATGCGTTGCCAAATGCCCATCCCAAATAATAGAAAAGACTGCAATCTACTTGAGAATCTGTGCGCTTGGTAGCCATCCGCTTTCCTTTTTTTCCAAGTTGGTTTGTAGAGCGTTTCGCGCAAGCGTCACGCTAGACTGCACCCAGTCTCGTGCTTCGAGCAGCTTGCATGCGCTGGTGATTCTATTGATGTTGGTGATGCTGGGGATGCTGGGGATGCTGGGGATGCTAGGGATGCTGGGGATGCTGGGGATGCTGGGGATGCTGGGGATGCTGGAAATGAACATGTTGGGATGCTGGATGGGTTGTCTTCGGCTCGAATGGGGCTTTTGAGGTCTGTGGTGGGTGTTTACTGGAGGTCTTGGCTGGGTGGTTTTAGTCACAGGTATCTGAGTGCAAGCCAAACAAGGAGTTGGGAGTTGGAGAAAGTTCTTAGCTCTTCTTTGCTTGGATGCCCTGCGAACCTCCTTTAGTTTCTGTTTACATGGTCGTTCGCCGGAAAGCAGTTGCACCAATCTATTTTCGCCAACGCGTTTGTCTCTCTTCTTCTTTTGGATTCCCTTCGGAGCCACGTTGACTGGCTTTGGTTACTCAACACGGGCAAAGAGCCCTTTGGTGCCATGGGGTGAGCAAGGGCAAACTTTGCTTCGGAGGTCTGAGCATGACAAAGCCATGCTTCCTAAAGCGCAGTTTGGTGAAGCTGCGCTCGCTGGTAGCCCCGGGCTTTCCATGGTATTGCTCCCTTTGTTTGCCATTGACGCCACGCTCTAAACGCCTAACCTGAAAAGGCACCGCCTTTTAAGTCTGAGAAGGGCTCTTTGTAAATCAAGCCCTGAAAAGGTGTGCTGTTTACACCGAAGCAAAATACACAGGACCCCCCCCCCTCCATCTGTGAGAGTTTTTCCGGTGGCCAGAAGCTGGCGACAGCGTCATGGGGTCCCAGATTTGGACAGAGCACACGCCCACCAAGATGTACTGGAAGCCGCTGGACTGAAATTTCTGGAGGGACCTTTGCCAAGGTTCGTCATGCGGACACAAGTGGCTGTGGGTCAAAAGTAGGTACCCCATGGGTTGCCCAGGTAAATGGAAGCAAGGACTAAGCCTTGTGGTCCCCGGGTGGCTTAATTTTGCCCCATGCCCAAGAAGTTTCCAGACTCACGGTCGATATCATCTTTCTCGTGCTGGTTCTAGGAGAACATAAGGCCAGGAAAGGGCAACTCAAATGCCAGCGGGCGAAACACCCCTAGATTGTCCCATGACCTTCTTGGGAACAAAAGAGGTGTTTCAGTTCCTCCTTCGCATTTCCAGAGTAACTCCGTGAGGATGAACGGCTCGGACGACTTCTTTTGAAGTTTATCCTCACTTGAGCAACGCTACTCAGTTCCGTGGTATTTTTTTGGACCCGCTTCAACTCGGTTCCCCACATAGAAAGCGCCAACGGCTTAACCTTTGGGAACTTGTCCGTTTCCCCCGGACTGACTGAAAAAAACCTAAAAACTAAGAAAGACATCAGCTGGGGCTCCACTCACTCGCCAGCAAGGCCAAGCTTTGGTTGCGCTTACTTGACGGTTTGGAGCCTGGTGGCTTGGATCTTTTTGTTTTGAAGCCCTGGTTCTTGTAGAGGGTTCCATGGGAACCCCTAACCACTGAGCCACCATTCCAAACCAGCAATTGGATGGAAGCTGAGCTGAGTGGTCGCCAGTTCTGCACAAAGCCAGAGGGGTTTGGGTAAAAAGTGCTCAGATCCCTTTTGGGCCACGATTTGAAGAAAAGCTGAGACCACGACTTCTTGTCAAACACGGATCCACTCACATCCCAAACATAGAATTTGAGGCCGCAAGCCAGAGGCCCCACCTAAAGAGTCTTCACTGGTCGGCCGTTGAGAACTCTTTGTCTCTCAGGAGAGGAAGCCCTCGTTTTCTGGGGGACCATTCCCACCAGCAAGATCTTGCCCCTTTTCTGGGCGGAAGTTTGTTTTTTTAGGGCGGCGGCAATTGGATCCTCGCACCTTCAAGGTGTTTCTGGTCAAGCAAAAGTTACGTATCTGGGGGTGGTTTTCAGCTTTTTCCTGACAAGGTTGACTCCACCCCGTGTCTTCTTGACTCCCTTTCATGGGAACGACTCCCTGTGGACTAAGGGGATCCGGAGGGGGGGTTGGGGTCAAAGTGTGCAACAGAGATGCTCCGCAAAAAATGAGCCCCCAAAGAGGAGGCTAAAGAGGAGGCTTCTCAGGTTCCATCTGAACCCCCAGCGCCCATAGCCCCAGCCGGATCACTGTGCCCAGTTCGAGAAGTGGAAACGGCCGCATCTTGGCTTTAGGCGAAGTCGACTTGGCGCAAGGATTTGACGTTTTCAACTTGTTGCGTGTTTTGTTTTTTGTTTGTGTTGTGGGATCTGCATACATTGTCGTTTTGCTAGCTTCAACTGTTTGTGCTAATATTTTTTTTGTGGGATCTGTAGAAATTGCCGTCTTTTCTATTGGCCCACAGGGTACCAACTTCCAAAGAGTGACACAGCCATTTTTGCAGACACGGGTGAAGGATAGGGAGACGTGCATCTATCCTCTTGCCATAGGTGAAAGCATGCCCATGCGTTTTGGGTGACGTTTGCCGCGTTTTGATCCTGACTCCGCACTTGCTTGTGTTATGCTCGTGGTCCTTTGTGCATGGGGTGAAGGCCAGTGGCTTTTTTTGGGTGAAGTGGACATGAATGGATTTGGGCAATCGGATACTCGCAAAACTTATTGCAGTCCAACTGGCCTTTGTGTTTAGTTTGGATTATCTCTGAAAGAGATGATGACATCATGACTGCAAGTAACATCACATATCGCTGCTCGATGTCTGACACGATTGCAATGCTGCCGAAAGACTGCAAGGGCCCGGCCTGAAAGGCATCTAGCGGGGGGTCGGAGTCAATTTCCCCCTTTTGTGGACCTCTAAAAGTGGGGTCCGGACCCCTGCTAAAAGCAAGCAAGCTTGTGCGCATGAAGCCACCAGGAGTCTCCCAATTTTGAGAATTCACGTGAGTCAGTTGGGCTCCTCCCCAAGATCGGCACAGCATTTGTGGCGAACTGACAATAATGCAATTGGTGATCGGTTTACCGTTGCCAGCCTGATCAGGTATGGGCTGCACAAGGGACTTTGTCTTGTGAATGCTTCAACGGTACGTCAGGTCAGGTGTCGACTCCTTATTGTCGCTAAGCCCAGAGTAAACTGACCGAAATCCGGCCTACAGAGTGCACTCCAATCGGCCAATTTTCCAGTCACCGCATTCTTTCCACTCCAATCTTGAGCATCACCTAAACTGGGCTCGCTCCCTCACTGTTTCTCCGGCCAGTTTTGAAGATTGCCTTCGGGTTGGCTCGTGAGATTCCTAGATGTTTCTTTTACCATTCTCCCCGTCCTCTGCAAAGCACCCCCCAGGATGTGGGGCATTTCTGGAAGGGAAGGGAGGGCTCCGGCTACAGAACAACAGGCAGTTTCCTGTGTAGGCGGTCAGATAGAACCCCTCAAGGTACTTCTTTTAAGAGATTTCATTCCGAAAGAAACATGATTCGGTGCTTTTTCAATTTTTTACCGTAGAATCTCTTTTCAATGAACATGTGAGACTATTCAGCCGAACAGTCCTTTGAGTGATTGAAGTTGATTCACCAAACAACTGTATATATTTTGTTCACCAAGCACACTCAAAAAGCAATCACATGAATGGGGGCCGGTGCTTCGGACCTGGGCCGGCTTCAGAGTCCCTTGGTGCATTTGGGGCCTTGTGTGGGCGCTATGCAAAAAACATGGGCGACTCACAGTCGTGGTTTTCTTTGTCTGCCATGAGCCTCAACCCTTTGGGTCGAGAGAGAAAACTGAGCGCTTTCAACCGGTGGGCTCCGGTCTGGTCCTTGAAACCTCACGCGAGAAAGCGGAGAAGAAGCTTTTGAAGCGTTTGGGGTTGGTCGCCATTTGTGGCAATCAGAGAGTTGGGACTTATTCTATGGCCAGCCAACCCCAGGAAGTGAGGAACACCATCCCATTTTTTAAGAGTTGGGACTTCTAGCGCAGATGTCCCACCCCCGCCCCATGCGTTTTGAGACCGCTCCTCGCTGGCTGAGTCCTCAGCGAGGGCGCTTTGGATGAGGAGTACGCGCGGGAGCGGTGGTTGTTCATCCCCACGGACAAATGGGTCCAGGCCCGGGGTTTGGATAAGCATCGGTGGTTTAATCATCCAGGGCCATCTGTTTCCCCAAGGACACCTATGATCGTGAGGAGCTGTGACGGTCACAGCTCCTCTTTCGTCCTGAAAGAGTGCCGTCGAGAGCGGCATGTGTCTGGGGCTGGTGATCGGCCAGCCCTGAGAAAGGAGTTCAGACTAGATTCCTGCATGTCTAGGTCCCCCAGTAGTGCCCTTCTCTCCCCGTTTTTGGTTGGGAGGGTTCCCCTACTAAGATAGACTACAGAAAAAAGGGTACCCTTATTCTAACCTCTCTACTGGAGGACCTAGATGTAGAGGCAACCACCACGGCCATGAGTTTTGACCAGTCGGGGTTGGAGGATGGATGGCTGGTGGATGGATGGGTAGATGGATGGATGGTATACATGGATGGTGGATGGATGGATGGGGGGATGGATGTGGATGGATGGATGGATGGATGGATGGATGGATGGATGGATGGATGGATGGATGGATGGATGGATGGATGGATGGATGGATGGATGGATGGATGGATGGATGGATGGATGGATGGATGGATGGATGGATGGATGGATGGATGGATGGATGGATGGATGGATGGATGGATGGATGGATGGATGGATGGATGGATGGATGGATGGATGGATGGATGGATGGATGGATGGATGGATGGATGGATGGATGGATGGATGGCTTAGTGAAAGCTGGCAGCTTGATCTGTGGAAGTAAGATGACAAGTCACATTCCTCGCGCTTCCTTGCAAAAACGGAAGTTCTGGAATACCCTTGAAATATGAACCCGACTTTCTCAGGATCTCTTGACCGCTGCGCGTGGTTAATGATGTGAGGCAATTTGTGAAGTCGTACCGACGGAGCTTATTTACTGTGGCAGAGGAAGCCTTGCTTTAGGGCCAATCAAATGTTCTTGGTATGTGTTTTACTTGTTCGCGTTTTTGGTTCTGTTCGTTTTTTGGAGGGAGTACAATGGGGCCAAAGCTTTTCTGCTGACATTGGCATGACTCAATTCCAAAAGGACACGTGACCCTGTGTGACCGCTTCTATGATGAAGGGTTGTGAATCGCCTCATAGGAGGAATGGATATACAGATGTAAAGGCATTCTTCTGACATATGTCTCCTCGCTTTCGTTGTTTGATCAATCTTGCTGGCGCTCGGGGAAGGTGGGAATGAACCCAGGGATGCCCTTGAGGGAAGCCACCAGTCGGAGTTGTTTTTTGTTCTTTCGTCTTGGGGTCATTCCATTTCTGATTCCCTAGCTATCGCACATTAGGCAGCAATTTGTGTTTTGATCAAAGATGAGTTTGATGTTTGGGTCCTGTGTCCCCTTCTCGCCAACTTAATGATGACTGAACATGTGTATGTGTGTGTGTGTGTGGGTGCATCTTTAACCAGCACCCCTGTAACCCCCCGGGTCTATCAAAGCGGTTGGTTGCTCACTCACTGCCATCCCAGAGCTGTGGCCCTGGGGCCTCGCCTCCAGGTGTGGACCAACCTGATGCATTTCATGGTGCTCGTGAGCGGCTTCTTTACCCCGATGCGGTATGCCCCCTGGAGCGAAAGCAAAAAGGGCTGAGGGGGCGGTGGGGGGGGGGGAGGTGCTACGATAGCAGTCGGGATGTTTGTTGGGACCGGCGCAGCATCAAAGCAACACACACTCTCTTTTGGGGATGCCTGGGATGCGGCACCATTTTTGGAGTAAGACTCGAGTCCCGACTCACGTGGCTTGCTGCAAGCCACGGGACACCTGCCGTCGCTCGTTTGTTTCTTTCTTTTTTGTTCCGAAAAATGGGCGCGTGCTTTCCGTGCAAGTCATTGGCGTCTACGGGGATGGTGCTCCAAGCCAAAAAGAAGCCAAAGAGTTTTCCGAGAGGCGAGCTTCGGAGGGAAAACCGATAAACCGAGCTCGCTGGGTCCTCTGATCGTTTCTCCGAACCCAGGGGCCTCTGGCACAACTTCGCCTCGCCTCGCACATGAGAGTTTCAATCGAAATGGTGGACTCCCCTTTGGAACCTAAACAAGAAGCCAAAAAAGGAACACAGGTGTCCGTTTTTGGTTGGTTTGCTTGCAAAATAGGCCCGGTGGTTCGATCATCTACCAGGGCCAGCTATTTTCCAAAAGGACACAAATGAAAAGGAAGCCAAATCACGTTGGGGGACCCCTTTGAGAAACGTGACAACAACCTTTCGAAAGGTTCCATGGTGCGTGGCGAATCCGCATTCAGTCAGCCGAGGCTTTGCTGGACCCGCAGGACAATGATTCCGTCTTTGACCCCGGACGTGAAGAGCATGTCTCCAGTGACCCACTGAAAGTTCCCCCAGGTCCACCATTTTTTTGGGGTTTCGCTCCAAATATAGGGTTTGGATGTGTTTCTTGCAGAGCTGCCGGGGTTCCAATGGGGTCGCCTCGGAGAAAGGGCCAAGAGGTCTTGGCCTTAGCGTTTTGCACTTTTTGGACAACTCTTCCTCTGGTCGACACTCAAAAAATCACATGGAGCAAACAGTGACACACTTTTCTCGCAGGTTCTTCGAATCAAATCAGGAGGGCGTTTGGCACAGTTTGGAATGATACGGGCGTTTTTTCTTTCTTTTGCGGTGCCTTTAAGCAAAGGAGACCGAAGGACAATCCCCATTGTTGGGGACCCCACCGCCCAATTGCTTTTCCCCAGGAAAAAAAGCGTTTGGAAGGGCCGTTGCACCAAGCTCGGCTTTCTTCAAAGCCCAGCGGTCAGCTTCCGGCGGGCTGGGGAGATCAGCTTGTGTCAAGAGGCCTTGCTGAGTTCAAGGTCTTTCCCATCGCGTATTGGTGGAGCAGCCCCGGGGCGTGGCTTTTGCTCAATCGTTTTCTCGCTTTTTGCGGCACCGGACACCTGGGCTGCTCCCTTTTTCTCACTCCCCGACTTCATGGACTTTAAACTTTTTGGGACGACCATTTTAGTGGCAAGCAGAAGTATGGCTGCCTTTTTTGGCCAGTCCACTCAGGAGGACGGTTCCGCATCCTGCAAAAGACACCAGCCCGTTTCCAGGCGGCTTTGTTTTTGCAAACTTACTCGAGCGGAATTTTGGATGTTTCTGGCTGGAAGGAAGGTCTTTCGTAGGATTTGGCCTCGAGGGACACCTCTGCAACCCCTGAGGGCAGGGATCAAAAAAAATAGAATTCCCCTTTTGAGTAGTTTTCAACACACTTTCGGCAACCACAGGTGAGTTTCCCTGTGATCAAAGGGAATATGTAGGGGGTTTTGTTGGCCAGGTTATTTCCGGGCGAGCTCATTCGAGCGATTTTTTGCACCATGATGAAGGCCCTCACTGAGGGGATTCAACTATATTTCCGGAAGTGAAGTCTACCCACGACTAAGCAATAGTTTGCTCCGTGAGAGGTCCAACTCCTTTGACTGTGTATTGGCTTCCCCGTTTGTCTCATTTGCAGTGGCGTAGCCCAAAAGATGGAATTCAAATCCCAAGCGGCATCGCTTCATGCCATGTGCCACGGTCAGGCTATTAGGGTTCACGGCTGAGTTCCTCAGTTTCCCGACGAGCTTTCTGGAAGATCGGTTGTAGCAACAAGTCCGGACTTGCGGCAGTGAGGTGTGGAGGTTGGGTGGCTTCCCAGTTTACCCCGACCGGAATCGGGAGTTAGATGTGCACTTTTGGCGCACATCTCTGTGACTCGACAGGACATATTCGCCTTTATCGTGGACTGCTGTTTAGCTGCCCGGATCGCAACTCTTGCTCCGGTCCTTGAGCTTTTGGACGCAGGATGTTCCCGAGAAAAAGAAAGAAGAACGGACGCCTGGTGGCTCGGGTGGCCGTGAGGTTTCCGCGCAAAAGGCGTTTCTTGTCGGTTGGACTGAAGTTGCTGTTTGCGAACCCGCCAAATTGTTTCAAAGGGCTCAAGGAAAAACCAGCCAACCATGAAAGGCTGGGCGTGACCCCGCAGCCCAGGTTGGTTCTGCGATGGGCCTGCACCCATCTTTTGTTGTGATTTTCTCGAGGTCCTCGCATGGCGGGTTGATCTTTGGAGATGCTTTTGGCATGGTGGGGTTGCCATTACTTGTGCTCGGAATAGCTTTTTTCGTTGAGTGTTTGCTTCGCGACCTCCGTGCCGAAAATCCGAGGACGCGACCTTTGCTGTGGACATCATCTTCACCTGCAACCAGGCGATTTGGAACCCAACTGGCTACATTACCTCTAGGCACGCCTCCGCTTGTTGACGGGGGGAAGGGGCCAATTTTTTGAATGAGGGAAACTTCGAGGCCGACGCAAAACGAGCCACGCTTGGAGCCTTTGGGTTCCCCATGCGGGGTTTGCGTCTTGTGGAGATGGTGCCCTTTTTCGACTTGGTTGAAAGGGAAAGCGAAAGGGACACCACCGTCTTGGGTCGCCGGTCCGAATGTCCGCTTTTTTGGCGCAAGGAGTCGCAAGTTTCTCTTTGGTCACTGGCCAAAGTTTTTAAAGGCCCCTCGAAGGGGTTGAGACTGTGACGGGGGTCATGGATTTCATGTTTGGGGGTGCCAACCGGGCTGAGAAAAAAAACACCAATTGAAAGCTGCGCGGTCCTTTGATGCAAACTGGGAACCCAGCTGCTTGGCACGAAGGGCTCAGCTTGGGCAGCTCCTTGAGGTTTGTCTTTGCAACATAAATGCCCGCACGAAGGGGGTCAATTCCCATCCAAATAGACAGACATGGCATGCAGCCCAAATGGGATGGCTGAGGCAACTTGTTCTCAACTGCGCCTAGGTCCTAAAGCGTTTGTTTCTTGCCCCCGATGCAGTGATCTTGGGTGTCGCGATCAAGTCGCCGCCGAAGCTCTCTTGCTAGCTCTCCGCCAACACGGGTTAATTTTTGGGTAGACTAAATGTGAAACAGAATCAGAACATATTAGTTTCCGCGTACCCCCTTTTTTTCTGGGCCAGGTGATTGTTGGGACTAGAAACACAGGAAGCGCGGGAAGTGGTAGACCCCCCTTTTTGCTCGGGGATCAGCTGAAAATCCGAATCCAATTGAATGCCGAACATGAGCATGTGTTCGTGTGCTCTTCAAGGATACCATAGGAGATAGCAAGTTCAGTTGCCAGGGATCCAGCTGACTAGCAAGCTGCTTCCTGCTTGTGATCCAACTACCCGAGTTTGACGTTTGACTTCCTCACTAAAACTCGCTGGCTCCCAGCCATCCCCTTAGGTTCTCAGGTTTTTGTTGGGTTTGGTGGTAGTTTCCATTTAACCCACTAAAAGTCAAACGTTTAGGGCATTTGAGGGCAGCCCAGAAAGATGCTCCCGAGCCTTGCTTCCCCACCGAGCCCCCAAGACAAGCTCCCTTCACCGGGCGGAAGGGGTGGGGCTCCGAGCCGGCGGCTCTCTTCCGATTCGGACAGGTTCACCATCATCAAGGCGTATTGGTGGAGCGGCCCCCTGGCGTGGGGTGCGTCGTAAGTGGGGCAGAGCCCCGTGGCCTTTTTTTCCTCGGCCTTCTCCGGCGCACAGCTGGGCTGCTCCCTTGTTCTCCGTGAGCTCATGGAGATCATTGTAGTTCATGGACTTTAAAGCTTTCGGGAAGACCATTGTAGTGGTTTTCAACGCGTTTGGACGTTTTTGGGCCAGTCCACTCAGGAAGTGAATGAATTTTCTGCTCTTCTTTAGAGGTGGGTTCCGAGGTCCTTGAACATCTACCGAAAAACATACTTTTTCCTTATCGGCCAGTGGCCAGGATTTCTTCTTTTTTGGTCGGGGCTCCTGTAACCAGAGGGAGGCTGGTTGCCCCACCAACCAAGAAAGAAACGGGTGCTCCCCATGTTTTTTCTCCCATGGCGGGCTTCGAAGCTTTTGTGCGACAGGTTTGTTTGAAGAACTGCGTCTGTTTTTTTTTTGGTGGGGGGGGGGGTAACCCCTTTTTGGTGGTTTTAAAGGAAAACCAAAAGGACCTCAGCTAGGACAATGGTCAGGTGTTGTGGGGCGACCCCAACCATTGCACACCGGTTTTTCCTTTTGGTTCAGCTGAAAAGGGCACCTGCAAGAAACAACACTCACACACACACTCACACTCACACACACTCACACATTTCTCTGATTTCCTTTGTACCCGAGCAATTCCGGAGCGTGCGAAGAGGGGTCACGCAGTGCGCTTTGCGGTTTTGACGTTGGTCAAAGGGATACGGTGTGCTTGTGGTGCCTCCGATCGACCCCATGCAGGAGCCGATCGGATCCCTGAATTCAATCAGATTAGTTCTGTGCGCACGTCACGGCACTCCATGTTGGTGAATTTATACTGGCTTGTTCAAGCTCGAGCCTGGTTGTCCGACATTTGTCGGGTTTGTCTTTGCATGGCCGGAACCAAACGTTGATCTTCAAGCTTTTAAGCGCTGGGACTTGAATTGGTATAGAAAGCGCAGAAATGCGGTGATGCTTGTTGTTGAGCCAATGGCTCATGGGCGGAGTTTCCCGCGGGAAGTTAGTCCAAACGCTCTCGCCGGACTGATGCTGGGGTTGTTTGCCTTGGACCCACAATACGCCCTTAGATCTGGGCTTCAACAAAACGCTGCATGGAAGTCTTTTGGTCAGATGGTTTACTATTTTGCGTTGCTGGGTATATTTTCCGAATTTTCCGGTTTGTGCTGGTTCCCTAAAACATCAATATACTTTTTAGTTCTAGAGCTTCCCTCTTTAAGAAAGAAGCCGCTTTCTTTGTTGTTTTCCTTTCTGGATGTGCTGTTTGGGAGTACCCCTTTTGAGGCTGGCTTGAGGGGAGCTGAAAAGGAGCATCCCATTTTGGGGGTTTAACTCTACGCAGAGACGTCCCTCTTGGTCTTGTTGCCGAGGTCGGCTCCTGCTCGACATTCTTGCCACGTTTCCGGTCGACCTCGTGGTTGAGATGGCCGCTTGGATCTGGGCGAAAGCGTGGCGTCAAGTTGGTGTTCTCCTTGGCTGGCGATATTTGGCTCGCATTGCGGTGTGGCAACTGGGAGGTGGATTTGTTCTTTTGGTCCTTTTCAAACATACGTGTGTGTGTGTGTGTGTGCTGTGTACGTACGCTTTTTGGGGTTGGTTTAAAGGGGAACCAAAAGGAAACCACCCATCTCCGGCTCTAAATCCCGATTTTGACGCATGCCCATATTTTATGCAGTTGCCTACAACAGGGCTCCCTTTTGCATGAAGGAACGAAGGAGCGAAGGTCATGACGTAGAGGTGCTCCAGTGACGCAACTGGAAGTCAAAGTTCACCCCAAAGAGGTCAAACAAGGGCGGCTGTCAACATGGGTATGCTTGTCTTGCGCTAGCAACTTGGTTTGCTTCCAAAGGGGACATGATTTGCTCATCTTGATGGATCACGCATAGACCCCACAAAATGGCTTCCCTGCGGATCAGTGGGAATGAGGGGTTGGCTCCCACTTCTGTACCAGAAACTCAATGAATTCTCACAACTTGGGATTTGCAGGGACCGAAGCTCTGAAAGGACATGGGTTCGCTGGGGCCACTCTCGGTGATACCAATCCGGCCTACCCTGTCACAGGAATTCCACGATGTCCAGAGATAGAGCTCAGAAAAGCGGGTTTGTAGTTTCACGATGGTCCTATGTGAATTGTCTCAGATGGGTGGTCTGAGGCTGTGTCTCTCAATCAGAGTTTGGCGAACAATTGCGAAGCGGCTCCCAGGATTTCCTTTGGTCTCGAAAAGCAGGGACTACTTTGGCCTTGTGAGTCCCCCCTTGAGAATCAAGTCGGACCCCCCAGACCAAAGCGACATGCCCCCGAATGCGGCAGGCATTGCATTCTCAGCTAGCCTTCATCGCATTCTCAAAATTGGGGACCGATTCCTCCAGGTGGGTGGTTTCCTTTTGGTTTCCCTTTCAAACCTAAGTCCCCCCCCGTAGTGCCCTTTTTACCCTGTAGTAGGGGGAGGGTTCCCCTGCTCAAATAGACTACAGAAAAAAGTTGCTACCCTTATTCTAACCTCTCGACTGGAGGACCTAGCAACCATCCAAGAGCGGGTCCCTTTGAAGGAAACTCCCAGGTCTGAAGCCCACGTCTTCCCCGGCCGACTCCCGGGGATCCCAAACCGCCCAAAACGCTCGCTGGCCACCGCTCGAGCCGAGATGGGGGGCCCTACTCGTCTGGCCACGGGGCTCGGCCTGCTGCGCCTGGTCAGGCCGGAAAAACCGAAAGGGAAGCCGGCCATTGACTCGTAACCGGTGGCTCGAAAAGGGCATCGGCATCTTGGCAGATGGAAAAGACCAAAACCAGCGGATTGCCCCATTTTTTTGATTTTGAGCCACGGCCAACTGTACCCTCCCATCTGTGTTGCCATGGAACCTGACTGGGGGGTGGAAGACTATTTTGCTTTGAGAAGGGGTGGACGGGAGGCTCGGTGCTGACTGAATTCGGTTTTCAAGCACCCAGCCCTATTCTAGCAGCTTCCCAGTGCTCTAGGCCACCCTGAATTAATCCAACTCAGCTCCCCCAAATATGGGGAGGGGGTGAGATGTGGAGTCAAAGTCTCCCAAGGCGATTCGACTTCCAGGCCGAAACACCTCTGTGACCGCACCCGGGTGTAGGGGAAGCCACGACCATGGCGCAAGGAAAATTGGCCAGGGGACATATTTGTGTCAAAGCCAAAGACCTTTCCGGGCAAGTTGGATGTTGGTTTCTCACGGTCCCAGCAGGGCACCTATTGTGTCCGCTTCTGACATAGCCACATGTTTGGCTGGAATGACTGCAAGTGTGGGATTTGATTAGAGGCTGCGCCGTGCCATTTATGTCGCTGTCAAAGGGCATAACTTATTTATCTGTTACACACCAGATAATTATGGTTTGTGACCTAAACAGATTGCAGAGACAGTTGGGTATTCTTTTCTCATTGAGCCCCCAAATTAGAGATATGGCCCAGTTTGGCAAGCCTATCAGAAGATATCTTAAGTCGTACTTGACCTATTTCGGGACTCAACTGTACCAGAGAGGATGGGCATCCTTTTCCTACAGAAGTGTGAGTTGCATTTCCCGGCCATCCCCATGACAGGCTGACCCCGTGAACTCCCCTTTTGGAGGGAAGAGGAGCTGGAAGGGCTAACGACACTTTGGGGAGTCTTCATTTTGGGCACGCGCATGGTTTAGTCCCAAATTAACAACTCCCAAGTCACCAGTACTACGTCCCCCAGTAGTGCCCTTTGACCGGGGAGGGTTCCCTACTAAAATAGACTACAAAACAAAGTTGGTACCCTTATTCTAACCTCTCTACTGGAGGACCTAGAGGATATAGTCACTGGAGCGCTCATGCCTCACATAGGCTCTACCGGCTCCTCGTGATGTTCCGCGAGATGCAACAGAGCCACCGGGCCTCGAAGGGTTGGAAGAGGGTTGACAAACGGATCTTCTCCGAGCCCCTCGTTGATTAAGTCACAGGACCAGGCCAGAGAGACTCTCACTTCCTGAGTTCACGAACTTGAAAGTTTGGAAGACCATTTGAGTGGTATGGACTTTTTTGGGCCATCCACTCAGCCAGTGAGGACTTGGTTTGGTTTCCTTTGGTTTCCCTTGAGAGAAACACACGCATCCGATGGATCCGGTGAAATGGCCCCCGACAGCTCTGGGTTGGAGCCGCGACAGCTGCCGGGTAGTCAACACCTGTCCGGTGAGCCGAATGTGCGGGCCAGATGGAAGCGGTGAGTGTTGCAGGTCTTGGATGCTTAGTTTCATGGATAGGGTGAAAATACCTGGAGGCTCCATGACCCTTAACAAAAATTCGGGGTCATTCCCCAAAATTAGGGGTCATGGACCCATTTTTTTAAGGGTCATGGAGACTCAAGGTAGGTTCAGGGAGTCCGGCTTTCTTTAAAGGGATTCTTGCAGTCGAAGTTTGCCTTGCCTGCAGTAAGCTTGGAACATTGACGCCATCAGAGACATGGCCTGCCTTTTGGACTCCCGGTTGAGCATGTTGCCCTCCAGTTACTGTGGCTTCTCTCATTGCGCAGTGCACGGCACCGTCCGGGAACCGTTTTTGACGGGGATTCCGACTCAAAGGAAACCAACCATCGGACGGCCTTTTCTATTTTCTTCGGGGGTGCCCCTTCTCATTCCTTCCCAACCCCCACGAACCAGCAAGGGAAAACTTTAGAGCCTCCGGCTCAGTCCGCCGACATTGTCCTCTCCCTTTTCTCCTTCTTCCTCTCTCCCTTGTCTCCCTGGTGTGTTCTGTCGTCCTCTCTCCCTCCCTCCGCTCCCCATCCTCCCCATCCCCCCAAGCCACTCTCTCCCCAATCTCCCTCTCTCGTATGTATGTATGTATGTATGTATGTATGTATGTATGTATGTATGTATGTATGTATGTATGTATGTATGTATGTATGTATGTATGTATGTATGTATGTATGTAATGTAATGTAATGTATGTATGTATGTATGTATGTATGTATGTATGTATGTATGTATGTATGTATGTATGTATGTATGTATGTATGTATGTATGTATGTAATGTATGTATGTATGTATGTAATGTAATGTAATGTAATGTAATGTAATGTAATGTAATGTAATGTAATGTAATGTAATGTAATGTATGTATGTATGTATGTATGTATGTATGTATGTATGTATGTATGTATGTATGTATGTATGTATGTATGTAATGTATGTATGTATGTATGTATGTATGTATGTATGTATGTATGTATGTATGTATGTATGTATGTATGTATGTATGTAATGTAATGTAATGTAATGTAATGTAATGTATGTATGTAATGTAATGTAATGTAATGTAATGTAATGTAATGTAATGTATGTATGTAATGTAATGTAATGTAATGTAATGTAATGTAATGTAATGTAATGTAATGTATGTATGTAATGTAATGTAATGTATGTAATGTAATGTAATGTAATGTAATGTAATGTAATGTAATGTAATGTAATGTAATGTAATGTAATGTAATGTAATGTAATGTAATGTATGTATGTATGTATGTATGTATGTATGTATGTATGTATGTATGTATGTATGTATGTATGTATGTATGTATGTATGTATGTATGTATGTATGTATGTATGTATGTATGTATGTATGTATGTATGTATGTATGTATGTATGTATGTATGTATGTATGTATGTATGTATGTATGTATGTATGTATGTATGTATGTATGTATGTATGTATGTATGTATGTATGTATGTATGTATGTATGTATGTATGTATGTATGTATGTATGTATGTATGTATGTATGTATGTATGTATGTATGTATGTATGTATGTATGTATGTATGTATGTATGTATGTATGTATGTATGTATGTATGTATGTATGTATGTATGTATGTATGTATGTATGTATGTATGTATGTATGTATGTATGTATGTGTATGTATGTATGTATGTATGTATGTATGTATGTATGTATGTATGTATGTATGTATGTATGTATGTATGTATGTATGTATGTATGTATGTATGTATGTATGTATGTATGTATGTATGTATGTATGTATGTATGTATGTATGTATGTATGTATGTCTGTATGTCTGTCTGTATGTATGTCTGTATGTATGTATGTATGTATCCTTGCACTTCCCCTTTGCTCCCCAGTATTTCCCGCAAAAAACACTGTTTTTCCAGCGTTTTCGCAAAGAGGATGTCCAAAAACACAGAGTTTTTCCAGATTTTCGGCAAAAGGATGCAGGAAGCCCAAGCCAGCAAAAAAGCCGGCAGGGGGAATCGAGCCTGGGACCCCTGTTTTGCGACACCGGGTCCCCGAAGACTACGTTTAGTGGAACGTCATCAAATTGCCGCGCGGTCCTTGGGGGGGGGGGCCCCCCCCCCCACGTATCAGACGTCGGGTGGGGGGGGGGTTAGGGGGGGGGGTTATCCTCTATCCTCTCTTAGGTGTCCGACACGCCGAGCAATGTCGGCGGACAAGCCTTTCCCCTCGCGATTTTTTTGGCAGTCAAATTCAAATCATGTCTTTCCCCGCCCATCGAACCAGCAAGGTAAACAAGCCTTTCCCTCGCCATCTTGGCAGGAAACAAACAAACAAAACATCAAACATGGTCTCAGGTGATAAGACGAATCTCATCGTCATCATGCTGGCCAAGTTCGTCACATGCATTTTGCTGCCGGGGCCCCTGTGGCCCTGTGGCATCGCATGGGGATAACAGCGGCGGGCAGGTTTGGAGGGTGCCAAGCGCCGACGTGAAATTGGGGGGTGAGTATCATGCCCAGACATTTTCGGGATACTAAAAAAAACACCTCACGTTTTCGCATTAAACAACGGCGTCGAGTGGCTTACAGCCAGTGTGATTTTTTCGAGCGGTAAACGGCACGCAGCCCTTCTCGTGGTTCCACTCCCTGTGAAGCCAAGCGAAGCCAAGTGCCAGGTCCACGCACCTCTCGGCGTGCCTCTTTTGGGGCCTGGCGCGGGATGACGAATTCGCGGCCGGGCGGGTGGCGTAGGGAGAGACCGGTCGAGGCGTTGGGGAAAAGTCGTTCCAGCCACCCGGAAGCTGGAGGCCATTTGTGGGTGCTGGTTGAAACTAGAGGCTTAAATGGGTTTGCGCGCCCGGATTTGTTCATGTTTGCTTGGGGCCCGAGTTGTAAAAGAAAAAACGGGGGGGCAGGGGGGGAGGGGGGTAAACCAAGCATCAGCGGAGCCTATCAGCACAGAATTTCGGCTTTCGCCGTTTTGATTGATTCCCGGGCGGGTGATGCCTAGGTTCGACTTTTGGCGGAGCTCCAAATGCAAAAAGAAACAAAACAGGAAAAGCGGCGTGGAGTTTCTCCCACGGAAAAACATCCGACCAAGAAACGGAGTAGATTGTTTCATGGAAACCCCATATCAGCAAAACCAACTAGCAGGGATACAGGGGGACCAGAAATACGGGAGGATTCCCCCCAAATGCACCTTGACTAAGTTTGATATGGGAAATGGCGCCAAGGGAATCCCCCCATATCCCCGCTCCCACCGCTTGTTCGTTTGTCCAACCAGAAACGCCCCAGGTGCGTAGGACTCCTCCTTTGGGGTGTTCCCTGCAAAACTTGTCTACCTCTTGGGCGGCTTCTCGAGAATAGGAGAAGAGATCCTTTCTTCACCCAACGGTTTTCACAATCAAAACCCGGGGAAGTGAAGGTTCGTAAGGGACAATCCCAACCATACATAGCTGGTTCTGGGTCGACCAAGGTAATGCCGGGTTTGGATTATGACTCAACTGTTCTGACTTCCCTGCCTGACCAAAAAAACGCGAAAAAACGGAGCCGCAGATGCTTGGGGATCCCCCGCGGCCGCAGTTCTCCGGCCAGGAAGATACCTGGGTTGCGCAGGGGGCGCCCTGGCTTCCTCAGCGGGCGTGGCTACAACGCGCCTGGGACATCGTTTGGTTCGCAGTGACTCCAGCAACTCGTTGTTTGGGGCTCGCCAAAGATTGATGCGTCCCCGTTTTCTACCAGGGTCACGAGGTTTCGGGGTCGCTTTGGACGCCACGTTCCGTGAGGGAACCGACTTCAAAAGCGACACCTTGGCGGCCCATTTCAGTCTTTTCCTTCGGCCGGGACAGGGGTTCCTTCGGCCCGTGCCGCGTGAAATCGCGGCCCCCAGAAAAAGGCGTGCCAAAACAAATCGGCCGCCGTGGGGGGTGCCGCGCGGATGCGGGGGCCGCCGGGGCCGCGGGAGCGCTGAGGCTACATCACCTCCCTCTTCTGGGCTGTAGGGACCTTCAAAGCTGGGCCCTCCGCAGGCCTTCAGTTCGGTCGGTCGGTCCGAAAGGAAGCGGATTCGTTGGTTGGTCCATGGGAACCTGGCGATGGCGAGCTCGCCGATTCGGTGGGAAAAAAAGAGGTCACCAGGATTTACGGGCCCTTTGCTTGGATCCGATCCTTAGTTCAGGAGAGTCGAAAATGCGGGATGTTTGGACCCGAGGTCCTTTTTGTGCCCAACGGCAGCTTCCAAAGGCCAAGCCTGGAGTGGCCGGAAACAAAGAACACATCAGGCAAGGGTTCAGCCAAAAAGGCCGGCAATTTGCGAGCTGCGTCCTTGTGGCCGTTCTGCATCTGGCATCTGGGCTCGGAAGATTCGTATGGAACCTATTCTTGCGGACAGTCTGCCGGGAAGCTGGGTCTAGTCACACAAAATATGTTCAGATAGTTTGATTGCGAGTAAGCACCTTAGTTTAGTTTTCGTGCTCTCACCCTCGAAACAACACACAAGCTTGTTCGATGCTCCGGGAACGCATTGTATACGTCGATCGTTGGTGATCCATCCTTGTGCACCCGCCAGCAGGACCTCTAACGACAGTTTTGCCTCGCAAGTGGTTGAACAACAGACTAGGCCCAGAAAGAACTTGCGCCTGTTTGGCTGTCCAGCTGCAGGGGCTGTTGGTTGAGGTATGTACAGGTGTCCCATATTGTGGTTTTTCTTTTTCCAGCAGTTTCTGGGGGGTGTCAAAATTAGTAGCCAATTTTGGGCGTCCCCCCCCCCCTTGTTCAAAGAGTCAAGCGTCAGCAATTTCTGACTAGCGCAGGCGATCTGGTTCCCACCAGTGATATGGAGAAGATCCTTGCTTGTGCCACTTGGAGACGAAAGCTCTTGAGACAGGTGTGTGTGTGGGTGGAGTTGGTATCCTTTTTGGCTTGTAACCAAAAGGACAACCGGGACACATCAGCCCTTCATTCAACCGCTTCAAGCCGGGTTTCCCACACACTGCTTTCACAATCCCGAGCCCTTCTTGGTGCCCCACACACGTGGCTTACTATTGCTTCCGGGATTCGACCCATCTGGTGTCTGAAGATGAAGGAACAAGCAATCAAAATTGTATTTCTGAGCTGCAACCCTTATGATCAGCACTGCAAATGTATCCAGGTCCGTCAAATCCCGTCTGTGGACACGTGAATTTCCGTTTTGGCCGTCGTGCCAGGAGGCCCCGTGCATTCGCACTGGTTGCCTTTGGTTTGGTTTTCCGTTGCTGGCCGAAGGAGCTGGTGACGTGGTGCACCAGCGTTGATCGGGGGGCCGACAGCGAGGTGCATTGTTGTGACAGCCTCACAGACGCGATGCACGTTTCATGCATTGGGACCCGTTCCACGCGGTTTTCCCTGAGTGCGGCCTCAGATGTTGCGTGCGCTTTTGTTTTTCCCCGAGGGTCCCTGCTTGGGGGTTGACATTCAAAGACCCAAAGGAGACCAACATGTTTTTTCGAGGGTCCCTGCTTGGAGGTCGACATTCAAAGGGGAAGCCCAAAGGAGACCAACAAATTTGTCGGGCTCCATAGCCCTTTGACACATACCCAGCAAAACCAACATTTTTTCAGGCTCCATAGCCCTAGTTTGCCGCATACCCAGCATGCCTCAGATGTTTCCGTCGCGAGGTGGTGATGATGTGCAACATTTGCCTTCAGACGTATCTGGTCTCCAACCTCTCCGCCTTGCTGACGCGCGCGGATGTGGGCATCTACACCATGAGCTGCTTGGACGCGGATGGGCAGCTTTCAAGATGATCAAAGCCGTGTGGCGTGCTAAGGGCCAGGGGGTGAATATGGTGAATCAAAGATGGGAAAACGATCAGCTCTCTTTGCAGTGTTTCTTTCCAGCTACAACAGCTTGTTGTCGCAGTACCGGTCACATTGACAACGGCAAGTGCGCCCTGGCCAAACCTACTCATTGAGTATATTTTATTCATGGCAAACCCCCCTTAGCGGGCGAAGGGTTTCAATAGGGATGTCATGAACCTGAAAGGCCCCGGCTTCTTTCTCTTCGCGCTCCCGGGCTGATTTGCCTCGTGTGCCTTGAGGGTAGATTTCCTTGAATCGAACGTGTTGAGGGCTTTGCAATGGACCACTGCATCCCCGAAGCGACGGGAGGCGTCGGCCTCAGGAAAGGAGCTTCGGCAGCTTTCCGTCTTTTCCCAAACCTTCAGCTTGCCAAAGAATGTCAAGGAGCCGCGGCAGACATTCAGACTTAGCTTGGGGGCGCTTGTTGGCCTGTTTGCAGCTTGGCCCGGATGAGAATAGGGATTGGACAGGGCGCGCGTTTTTTTTTTGTAAACCACGGCCACTTCTCCTTGTGGGGCCACTTCGCAAGGGGGGGGTTTTATGCTGGTGACAAGCCGCCGCTTTGCCCGTGCCAACAGCTGCCCTGGGCGTTATGGTAGAAGGCACCGTTTCCACAGGGCACCAACAGGTTTAGTGATGCAGGGAGTCAGGGAGCCTTCAGGATGCAATTTCTGGCAGCCCCTCACTGCATGCACACGGTCAAACCTGCCAGGGCACGCTTGCGTCGATGAACAGAAAATCCTGCCTTCACATTTGATTTGCTCTCGCCGCCTTGTTTTTTTCTCCATCCTTGCCCTTTTCTTCAGCTCCATCGGTCGCTTTGGGAGGCTCGTCTCTTTCTCCCCAAACCCCGGCCGTGAGGAGCAGCTGCAGGGCTACGTGCGCTTCAAGCACTCCACGGATCAGGAGAAGCGAGGGTCAGCGAGAGAGCGGCCCGGGCAGGGGCACAGGGCAGGACTGAAATTGGACACGCGAGCCGCGAGGGAGCCCCAAAACGCCTGCCCGCTTTGCTGTTCACACGACAGGGTGTTGTTTTCTCGTTCCGAAAGAGGTTCTTGCGAGCAGCAACCAAAGTGCCACCCATATGGATACTTTCTAAACCTGGCATTTTTATAGAACCTGCAACTCGCTTGTTCTCAGTGTCATTGTCTCCACCGCGTGCCACCGTGAGAAGGGTACTTGTATGCGGAAAGGGGCTCACACCCTTTCTCTCATTCGCTGCTTGTGCCCAGGTTCTTGAGAGGAACACTGCCGAAGTTGTGACTTCTTTCTCAAGCTTCCTCAGTGAGGTAATCCTTGCTGGTGAACATCGGCGCACGTGCGAAGTCCCATCCTGAGCGTGCGACCCTAGCGGATTTTGTTTTTCCTCAGACTTCGGAGCAAAACCTAGAAAGTGGTCTTTGAGGGACTTGTTCAATTGCCTAAATTGCAAATGCGTGTGTGTGAGTCTAAAAGAAGAAGGATCCCACCAATGGTGGGTTTCCCTTTGGTTTCCTATAACCCCTCCCCCAAAGGGTACGCTCACAAAAGACACTCGCAACTAACTGATGAGCTAGCCATTGCTGAGAGTCGACCCCTCCAATCGCTGTGGTGTCATTATCCTTTCGACATGAATGCGTATCTGGGTTTCCTTTTTCGGTGGTTTTGGAGAAGGACACCACCAGGAAAACCGAAGCCACAGGCAAACCGCAGCCATTTTTGGGGGGTTCCCCGATCTTGAGACAACCCAATTCCATCGTGACACCATGCGAGATGTTCCAGTTGGCCCACCTTGCGGCTGTCACGAGAGACCCGGGCCCGTCATTGACCTGCTCCTTGCCGAGTCCATGGCAATAAACCTCTTCTCAACTACTGCCAGCAAAAGTCACCCGGCCAGTCCGCAGTGTGCACAATCACAGAAACTGCTGCCAAAAAAAGGTGTCCAACTGAACCGCCCCTGGCCTTTGAGGCCCAAACCGAGGTCTACAAGGCCCCTCTTACCCACCTCTCTTTGGATCTCTGGAGTTTCCTTTTCATCAAGCACGAAAGGAGAAGCTTGGCCTCGAAATTCTCATTTCCACATAGCGTAGACCTTGTTTGAGAGAATCGTGTGTGCTTTCCCTTCAACTACCCGAAGGACAGCCCGGTTTCCGGGCAGGCAGTTTGGAAGTTTCCTCTCAAGCTGGACACGGGCAAATAATGTTTTCCTTTGGGCTGAAGCTCATGTCGGGATTTTATACGTCATAGATCTGTTGCCTGATGTTCGCACACCAACTTTTGGTGAAACCTAGGGATACCCCATGAAACTACAAGGGATGTCTTCTCACACCCCAAAAGTATCCCCCATGATCAACTTGGATTCCCCCCCTCCCAAAAAACAAAAGAAAAAGAAAAAAAGACGAACATCGGAGCCAGACACCTCGCGTCACCCCGACAATCCGTGTGGCGCGAGCTGCAAGGAGCTGGAGTCCTCGGTGATGGCGATGCTTCCTGACCTTTACAGGAGCGGTGGCAGCCGCCTGACGTTTTTTGCACCGCAGGAAGTCCGTCGCTCGGGCCCCCCAAACTTGTTGCCGTCGCGTCGTACCGCGTCGTACGGCAGGCAGCGCATCAGCTCCCTGCTGTACTCGAAGCTGGTGAGAGAGATGGACCTTTTCCAAGGGTGCGCCAAGCGCCGGGGGCCTAGCTGGGCCTAGCTGGGGCCCAGGTGTTGGGGTGCAGTCGCCAAATGTCGCCAATTTGGAGGGATGCCTCATTTCGAGACATGTCTCCAAAAGCCAAATGGATGGGCGTCGGAACTGAGGGCCTGACCACACAGATGCCGAACACATGTCTGTGGCAAAGGGGGGCGATGTGGGACAGCCTAGCCACAAGTTGCTCGAATTGAGAATTGAACGGCTTGCTTGATTTCAACGAGGCGTCGTGTCCTGTCCCGTGAAACCCAGTTTTTTTTTTCTTGGGGTGGGGGGGGCGGTGAGGGGGCCCGTGGAAATTATTGGTGATGCACTATCCTCCTTGCAAGGTTTCGCGGTGCAAGTTGGCCTCCCACCTCGGTAGGCGAAGAGTTCGTCTCCGCTGCTCCAAGGCTTCCTGTCGCAGCTGCACAGCTCCCTGACCTCCAACCTGCGCAGAGCTCAGACTCGGCCGAGGGTAGATCGAAGGGCGTTTGGCCCCATAGCCGCCCGGCGCCCGGGCCGGTGTGTGTGTGTGTGTGGTTGTGTGTGTGTCACAGTGTGTGCCGACTTCGCGCTAAATCCACGTCCCTTGGGATTCCCTGGTTGGTGAAAAGGCCCTTCCAGAGTACTTGGACGCTTTGGAAGACTGATTTCTCTATTGGGACCCCACCCCCTTTGTTGCGGTGTGACCTTGTTCCGCAGCTGCCAACGAGAAGGCACCAGTTCGAACTGGACAGGGTTGTGGGTTGCAGGGTGTCCACTATATGGGGGTGTCTTTTTCAGGGGACCCCCCAAAATGGTTGGTTTCCTCTTGGTTTCCGTAAATCTACCCAAAATAGGTAGAAAAAAAAGACAGACCCATATCAGGACATCTCTGCCTTGCAGTGGACTGTTTGGTCTTTGGGAAGGACGATCTTCGCAGCACTGCTGATGGACGATATCCTGCACCACCTAGGATGGGCAAATCCCTGCAAATCTTGGGCCAAACCAACCAACTGCACAGGGTGAAGAGGCAAGTCCCCATGGATTCGCACCTCGGCCACTCCCATGCGTCCAGAGGAGAAACCACTGGACCCGTTGCCCCAAGGGAGTGCACCGGTTGGACGATCCCGAGGTATATGTCCGGGCATCACCTAGCTGCTCGGGCTGCATCGCGGGCACCGCTTTTGCAGCGAGCAAGATCTTGACTGGATTGATGTGCAAGAACTCCCCAACGCAGAAATATTGGAGGCCATGCACAAGCATTCCCAAGCAAAGCCCAATAGGACCCTTCATGGTTGTTGTTGGGAAACATTTAACATGTTTGCTTGTTGTGGCTTAGTGGGAAATCCCCACTTGACTGCTAAGGTTTCATTTTTTGTTCCCCTTCCAACGTCAACCAAGAATTGGTTTGGTGTGAAATCCATAGCGTCCTTCCAGGAAATTCCCCACAGGCCGTGCGTTTCAGATTCGCGGGGAACTTCTCGGCGCCTTTTCAAGGGCAGAGGTGCTGTGAGTCCTGTGCCAAAACCAACTCCTGGATACCTCGAGCGGCTCTGGCGCTTTCTTATGTGGCTTGAGCAGAATCCCGTGGTACCAGAAGTCAGTCATTACCCATCTTGAGTTCTGAAGCACCCCGGAAGTGGCCAGCAGCTTGCAGAATCAGTCAGGCAGGTCTTGCAGAATAGCAGAACTTGCAGTTTCTCCCCCAGATTTTGCGTAAACAAACTGATTGCGGATGCAATTCTGCAGCTGATTGCTTTGTTGGTTTTTGGTGTTCAGGTTTATATAGGTTTTTGGGTTGAGGCTTCGGGTTTAAGGTTTAGGGTTTAGGGTTTGTGGGTTTTCAGGGTTCAGGTGGAGGGTTCGTAGGGAGAATGTTTGTAGGGTGTGTGGGTTGCCAGCCTTTGAAAGATGACCAAACCTAGAGCAGCCAGCTCACCCTTCCGATCAGGTCGAACGGGAGCCAGCAACCCTGTTTTGGGATATGCCCCCATGAGGGAATTTTATGTTTCGAGGCCGAGTGACATGAAAAGAGCTGCTTGGTTTTTGCTGCCTTAGACTTCACCAGCCACGCTGCGGCCCAGGTTTATGTGGATGATTCCTCATCTCACCTCTACATCATCTCAGAGGGCGAGGCTGGACAGTTCGCAAGCCCTGAACTTTGCAAGGATGACAGCTGTCTTTTTGTTTCTCTTTTGGTAGCTCTGATAGGTTCGCTTGCAATGTAGAATTCTGCGAGTGACAGGGTTCCATGACGGAATCAGGCAGGTTTTCTCTCCCAAAATTGGGAGTTTCCTTCTGGCCTGCGGCTACGAGAGCCAGATGTTGGTTAATGCCGTGACGGCTAGTGCGATCAAGCGAATCAAGCATGCGCTTACAGCCGCACAGCAGCCGCTGCCGGGCCTCCTCCTTTGCTTGGTGACGATGGAGCCGATGCTATAGCAGTTGTTTCTGTGCACGCACGCGCGAATTGGCGTCGCTTTGCTGTGGCAGAAGTTGGTTTCGGCTGACTAGCTGGACCTCTGACTTTGCAGGTGGTCTGCTTTTGCTGTAATTAGTCTGTTTTGAAGTTGCTATGAGTTGCATATGATGCAGAATGCTAGCTTGGGATGATAGCAAGAAGCAAGGGGCTGCACAATGGCAAGGGGAGAGCTTTTTTAGAGAGCTAGACAATTAGAGTAGCATGTTGCACATGTTCAAGCTGAGTTTATCGCAGATTGATAATGATCCCCGGCAACTGTGGTATCATGTACATGTTCCGCACCAAACATGGTGTCCAGTCACATGTCCAGGAGCGGCTTGATGAGCAAGCCGCATTGGATTGACCATATTCCCGCCATTGTCCTAGTCAACGGGATATGGCTGTGGGTCAAAAAATAGGTACCCCAAATGGAACCCTGGTAAGTGGAGCCATGGACCAAAACCAGCGGTTTTCTGGTGGTTTGATTTTGACCCATACCCATATTGTTGGGGCTTTCTCTGTGAACACGGCTAGGGATGTTTCAGATACTTGCATGATCGAATGGTCGCCCTTGCCCTTCAAAAGAGCTGGGCTTGCGACAAAGCTCAAAGCGACTCGGTTCACTGTCAACAGCAATGGTTCAATTTGAAAAATGCCGCACACTGTAAGACGTTGTTTTTGAACAAGTGTGGTTCGCAGCGAGCTTCAGCATTTTCCCGTTCGACTCCTACCCTCCAAATAGGCAGCACTTGAGCAGTAAAGATCCATTTGCGAGTTTGCGCTGAGGGAAGGGCAGGGCTGGGACTGAAACGACATTGAAGTATTTTGGACCCCATGTCGATGTGCTTCCCTGAGGAACAGGCTTGATTCGAGGTTCAAGATTATGCAGTCTGAGGAACTTCCAGGAAGTCTTGAATCCTGGCACGCGGATCACTTTAGAGTATTCAAGCAAGGTCGCAAGATTCGGCCATTTGCCGGTATTTGGCTCTGTTTCTTCTGGTCCATCCCCTTGTGCCACATTTTTGGCATTTTTTGACACCTTCCAGGTTCTGTGGTACCCTCTAAGTCGCTAGTTGTTTGGTGGGCTGACCAAAATCCCCGTGAACGCCCAAAGGCCAAACTTTCGCAACCGGGCACCGGTCGCAACTGGCTACCTGGCGCGGCCCTTGCCGAGAGGTGCTGCTGTCGCACCATGGCCAGAGCGTGGAGACCAGGAGGAACCTGGAAACCTTCTCGGAGCTGGCCTTCCTTTGCACCTTGGCTGGCGCTTTGTTTTTGGCGGGACGGATGTCGGGGAAGAAGGTGGCATGCAAACCCGAGTCCAGGCGGGTCAAAAGGCTAGGTTCCTTTGAGCGGCCGGAGCTAAATTCCCCAAGTTTTGATCTCATCATGGGCGCCCGAAGAATCGAGGAGTTTGAGCCAGAGCAAGCAACGGAAGCGTCAGCGGTTTTAGGGTGGAGGCTGCAAGGATTCCCTGCATCGTGGGGATCCACAGACAGGCCAATCACGGGGCCAAGGAGACGTTTTGGGAGTCGGGTGGCAAGCTGTGCTACCTTTGGCAACTGGTTTCCCAAGGTGGTTGCAGCTGCAAGTTGTGCACTCGAAAGTGGCATTGCAAGATTTGCGTTGCTGTTTTGTCTGGGGTGTTCACTATTAGCCCTCAATCCTTGTGTCAGATAGTTGTTTCCGTTGTCGCCATGTTGTTCCACTCAGGATTGCAGATGAGGATTAGGGATCCCTGAAAATCCCTCTTTGAACAACCGAGTTTGCAGAGTTGTTTACAGACTCGTGTTCTTTTGATCTAAAGCGTTTGGGCATGAACCCTTTACAGTGGTGACATCATCTATGTGCGGGTGTATGTCCACCAGTCATTTTGAAGGGCGTTCCATTCAGCAAACATCCTCAACGCCACGAGCCTCCTTGCAGGGCGTTCACAAAATTATGGCCTCTTTTCCGTGCCGCTGTACAGGTGAAACGGAAGTCACTATCCCGGCTCCAGATTTTGACAAGCGCCCGAACACCAGTTTTGGCTTCAACAAGACTCTGGTCAGGCGGATTAAACACTGTCGGGGGGTGAGGGAGGATGGGCTCGCGGTTGAAGCGCCATGTTTGAACAGGTGGCTTTTCGGTGGACTAGGCTCTTGTCGACCCTTGGAAAAAACTGAAGGGGAACTCCCTGGCTACCTCCAATAAAAGTAACTGGGAGCTTTTAGACTTTTAGGTTTGGTGGATTTGTCAGGCATCCATGACATCTCCCAATGAAAGTTTTGCTTTATCAAAGGATCAACTTCCATTTGCTCAAGAATATGTTTGATTTCACCCGCTGGTTTTTAAAGAAACATCTATCACTACTGGACATACTGTGGATGGACGGAGTTCTGCACCACTTTGAAACCATGGGAAACCACTGTTTGTTGGTATTTGCAGTAGAATCATCATTCCAATGTTTCTGAACGGTGGTGTCGGATGTCATCCACCCACAGTATGTTAATTTTGGGGACCTCTCAGCACCAGCAGCCCGGCTCCGGCTGTTTTCAGGTCGGCTGCCGGAGCCCTTTGACGTGAGCAGCAAGAGCTTGTGCCGGATCCTGTCGCTGAACCGCCGCTCGGTCTGAAAAACCGAGAGTTGAGACGCGACGACACGACCCCCATTTGAGTGCGTACCCCCCCCCCCAAGAAGAAAAAAAGCAAACACAAACAGGAGAACAACAACAACAACAACAACAACAACAACAACAACAACAACAACAACAACAACAACAACAACAACAACAACAACAACAACAACACCAACAACAACAACAACAACAACAACAACAACAACAACAACAACAACAACAACAACAACAACAACAACAACAACAACAACACAACAACAACAACACAACAACAACAACAACAACAACAACAACAACAACAACAACAACAACAACAACAACAACAACAACAACAACAACAACAACAACAACAACAACAACAACAACAACAACAACAACAACAACAACAACAACAACAACAACAACAACAACAACAACAACAACAACAACAACAACAACAACAACAACAACAACAACAACAACAACAACAACAACAACAACAACAACAACCAACACAACAACAACAACAACAACAACAACAACAACAACAACAACAACAACAACAACAACAACAACAACAACAACAACAACAACAACAACAACAACAACAACAACAACAACAACAACAACAACAACAACAACAACAACAACAACAACAACAACAACAACAACAACAACAACAACAACAACAACAACAACAACAACAACAACAACAACAACAACAACAACAACAACAACAACAACAACAACAACAACAACAACAACAACAACAACAACAACAACAACAACAACAACAACAACAACAACAACAACAACAACAACAACAACAACAACAACAACAACAACAACAACAACAACAACAACAACAACAACAACAACAACAACAACAACAACAACAACAACAACAACAACAACAACAACAACAACAACAACAACAACAACAACCAACAACAACAACCAACAACAACAACAACAACAACAACAACAACAACAACAACAACAACAACAACAACAACAACAACAACAACAACAACAACAACAACAACAACAACAACAACAACAACAACAACAACGCCCCGAACCGACATAATGCCGCGGCCATGAAGGGACAAGCTAGCTGAAACCTCACGAAGCCCTGCAAATAGCGGTGTTTTTCGCTGTTCCATCCATCAAAAGTAGCTTTTTGTCAACCCTCTATTTTTGCAAAAATCGAGGGTTTGCGACAACCCTTTCAGCCAAAAAAACATCAGGTTCCTGGAAAAAGTGTTTCAACAAAGGGGTTGGTTTGGTCAAGGGATGACATGTCCACCTCAGCACATGTGTCTTGCCACACTTTGTCACAAACAAGAAGATTGCTCTTCCCCCAAAAACCGTTTCAACCAAGGGGATGTCTTGCACGAACAAGAACCACTTCAAGCAAATGCACCGTGCTGAGCGGGTGCACGTGAGCGGGTGTTCTTATTAGGTGGTAGGCGTGGATACCGTGCTGAGCGGGTGCACGTGAGCGGGTGTTCTTATTAGGTGGTAGGCGTGGATACCGTGCTGAGCGGGTGCACGTGAGCGGGTGTTCTTATTAGGTAGTAGGCGTGGATGCAGTGCTGAGCGGGTGCACGGAGCGGGTGTTCTTATTAGGTGGTAGGCGTGGATACCGTGCTGAGCGGGTGCACGTGAGCGGGTGTTCTTATTAGGTGGTAGGCATGGATACAGTGCTGAGAGGGTGCACGTGAGCGGGTGTTCTTATTAGGTGGTAGGCGTGGATGCAGTGCTGAGCGGGTGCACGTGAGCGGGTGTTCTTATTAGGTGGTAGGCGTGGATACCGTGCTGAGCGGGTGCACGTGAGCGGGTGTTCTTATTAGGTGGTAGGCGTGGATACAGTGCTGAGCGGGTGCACGTGAGCGGGTGTTCTTATTAGGTGGTAGGCGTGGATGCAGTGCTGAGCGGGTGCACGTGAGCGGCTGTGGTGGTCTTATTAGGTGGTAGGCGTGGATGCGTGCTGAGCGGGTGCATGTGAGCGGGTGCTCTTATTAGGTAGTAGGCGTGGATGCAGTGCTGAGCGGGTGCACGTGAGCGGGTGTTCTTATTAGGCGGTAGGCGTGGATACCGTGCTGAGCGGGTGCACGTGAGCTGGTGTTCTTATTAGTGGTAGGCGTGGAATACCGTGCTGAGATAGGGTGCCGACGTGATAGCTGGTGGTTCTATTAGTGGTAGGCGTGGACGCAGTGCTGAAGCGGTGCAACTGTGAGGCGGGTGTTTATAATAGTTGTAGGACGTGGTACCGTTCTGAAGCGGGTGCACGTTAGCGGTGTTCTGATAGGTGGTGAGGCGTGGATATGCAGTGCTGAAGGTGCACCGTGAGCGGGTGGTTCTATTAGGTATGGAAGGCGGGAAAGCCAGTGCCTAGCGGGAGCGAACACGGGCAAGTTCTTCATATGGACAGGCGAAGAGCGGTGCTGAGCGGGTGCACGTGAAGCGGAGTTCTATTATAATGTAGGCGTGGATGCAGT